AATTAGACCGCGGATAGAAAGGTTAACAACTGTTAAATACTGTTATATTTAGAAATATTTTCAATTTTTTGTATTGAACTTTTACTATCAGAGAATATAACGTAATTAGATTTTGTTCTTAAGAAATTACTAATGTATTTAAGTGCTTCTAATATTGCTATTAGTTCAGCGGTATATATCGAGGTTTTAATATTTAGATATACTACAGTACTAAATTTTCGATCTGGATCGTAAAAGGCAGATGTAACCTTTAAATCTGATTTAGATGCATCCGAAAAAATATATGAGTAATTAGGGAACATAGACTTTATGTCAGCTTGGAACATGCTATTCCGGATATATTGTGGGAATTCTGAATAGTCTCTAAGATATCCTACTTTTATGCTATCCAAGTGTTCTAATTCTATTTTAAAACATGGTAATTCTCTTGAAGTCGAAATGTCCTTACTAAGTTGTATCCTTACGTATTTGTACGATTCAATAATAGGAATTGTAGGCTTTTTTTGCCAATATTCCTTGACTAGATCGTGAATACTGAGCTCGAAGCATTTTTGGACTACCGGACTTTTCTTTGCATACATTTTTAATAAAACCTTCTCCGTTAAGTAATCTCTTCTGAAATTTAGTGGAGGTTTATTGCATTCTACGTTTAAATTTGAAATGGGTGTATTCTTAAGTGCGCCTATACTTATTCTTAAGACTTTATTTACTAGCCTATCTAATTTCTTCAGGTGAGTCTTCGCTGCTTGACTATAAAAAATTGACCCATAATCTATTATTGAACGAATATAAGCTTTATAAAAGGTAAGCGTAATATTTGGATCAGCTCCCCAACTTGTATGACACACTGATCTTATTGCATTTAATCCTTTTTCTGTTTTTGTTATTAAGCGGTCTATGTGTTCGTTCCACAATAACTTCCTATCTATTACCATACCCAAATAGTTAATGGATGATTGAACCTCAAAATTAACGTTATTAAATAATATGGATTGTGGTAATCTATGTTTTTTGGAGAATATACATGCTTGGGTTTTCTTTGTAGAGATGCTAAGACCTATATTAAAATAATACTCTTCTATTGTCGAAAACATTTCACTCATTATATTGATACCTTGATCGATTTCAACTTTAGGTACATATATACACACATCATCAGCAAACTGTAGAACATTTCCTCTTGTATTAATTTTTTTGTGTAAGTCTGAGGTATAAATGAGATATAGTAAAGGACTAAGGATGCTTCCTTGCGGTAACCCAACATTCGAAATTCTTGGATCCAATAGTTCATTATTGATTTGAAGTTGTAGATTCCTATTTGAATACAATTTTATTATTCTTTTACCAAAGTCACTGGGTATTCCTATCTTCTCCATTTGTTGATAGAGGATATTTAATTTGATATTATCATATGCACCTTCTACATCTATGAATAGAGATACCAGGGATTTACGTTCAGAAAAGGATATATTAATGTCTAGGATAAGGTTAGCTATATTTTCTGATGTCGATCTTAGTTTACGAAACCCATATTTTGTATCACTAATTTTGTTATTTTTCTCTAACCATAATTCAAGTCTTCTCTTTACCATCCGTTCGAATGTTTTTAAAATACACGATCCTAACGAAATTCCTCTGTATGAATCCGCTGAGTCTATATCTTTATTTGGTTTTAAAATCGGTATAATTACATAATCCTTAATGGACATTGTCTAAGCCAGGAGCAGTATTTTTATGACACTTTAAACTATATTCTAGTTCTTTTAGAGTAAATTCATTTAACAAATAGTTTGAATTATTATTATTCACTTTTTTAGGATGGTTTACATTTAAATTTGGTGAAACCCAGGGCGGAGCTAACTTATTTAAAAATTCTTCAGTCCAATTATCATTCTTTACTTGATTTTTTGGGACATTATAAGTATTTTTGATTTTTTTAATTTCTTTCCAAATTTCTTGGACCGGAGTATTTTTATTTAATTTATTACAAAATTCTCGCCAAGAAGCTTTTTTACTTTTTAATATTGTTTTTTTCTTAATTGCCTCTGCTTTCTGATATTTTATGTAATTTTCATATGTACTATTTCGTTTAAATTCTAAAAAAGCTTCTTGCTGAAGTTTTATAGCTTGTGCACATTCTGGGTTCCACCATTTTTTATTAAACTTACTATTGATCGTCATTTTTTTCTTAGGTATTGATAATTCACAAGCATCATTTATTATATTGATAAATGTATTATATATGTTATTAATATTTTCATCAGTATTTATATCTTTGGTGTCAATAGTTTCAAGAATTGAAGAAAATAACGACCAATCTGCTCTGTTCACGTTCCATCGGGTTCTCTCATTAACTATTGTTATACTATCAACATCGCTTTCAATTATTATTGGAAAGTGATCAGAATCTAGAGCTACATTTTTTACGTTCCAATCAAAACAGGAAGATATGTCACTGGAACATATAGTTATGTCCACAGCTGATTTATTTCTACTGTATAATCTAGGTATTATAGTTTCGGCCCCATTATTTAAAAAACATAACTCACAGTCTTCTATTGCGGTTAATAGACTAAGTCCAGCCCTATCATTCTGATCGCAACCCCATGCATTATGGTGACAATTAAAGTCTCCTGCCACCAAAAATGGTGTACTTAAACTATTAAAAAACTTTTTCCCTTCACTCTCTGATACGTTTAAATTTGGTTTTGCATACACTGAATATATATTAAGAACTTTATTTGATTTTAATTTGACTGTTATTGACATACTCATCACCTGATTGATTTTATGATGATTTGGATGACCTGTGAACTGAATGAATTTTTTAGTTAAAATAGCTAATCCTCCATAACCATCATCTCTATCTCTCCGAAATATATTATAACCACTGAAATTAATATTATTTTTTTCTTTTAACCACGTTTCACTAATTATAACTATATCAATATTATTTTCAAAAATAAATTTCTCAAAATGACCTTTATTGTATACAATGGACCTAGCGTTCCACTGTACAATTTTGAACTTATTCATTATCTGCGCGAATACGACTTAAATTATTTTTAAAATCGTCAAACATTTTTATATTGTCTAAAGTTATTGAGTTATTCTTTAATCAATTTTTAAAAGTGCTTATAATCATATCACAAACAGAGTTTATTTTACAGTTTTTATTTAAATTTGAGCTCATTGTTGATTGGGAATAGTTAGGGATATTTCTATAATTTTGATATACCGGTTGACTACTAGTAGATGGAGATGAAAGAATCTCCTTATGCTCGTCGGAATATCCTGAACGGGGATAATTAGGATAACTTTCTAAATTTCGTCTGCGTTTAACTGGTACTGAGTAATGAGTACTTTTATTTACATTCTTTGTCACCGTTGCGTAACTATGATCATATTTTTTATTAGCCTCACTATATGATAAATTTTCTGTGGCCATATATGTCTTAATTTGTTTTTGACGATGAAATTCTTCACAATTTTTCCTATCCGTTGCTTCATGATTTCCTTTGCATAATATACATGATGTCAATTGCGAATTACAAGAATTTGTTTCATGTTCATTGCCACATTTTCCACATCGAACTTTACCTCTACATTGTGCATTAACGTGACCGTACCTCATGCATTGTCTGCATTGAATTACTCGTGGAACATATATGTCTACATCGTAAATAATTTTTTCTATTACTACCTGTTTAGGTATCATTTGCCCCTTAAAAGTAACAATAACTGCCATTGTCGGGAGTAACTCACCATTTACCTTTCGTTTTATTCTCCTTACTTCATAAACTTTAAAATTATTTCCATATTTAGGTTTAATTATGTTTAATAAATCATCGTCTTTGATATCCTTGTCAATACTTTTTATTACACCTTTTTTGTATGTAAAGAAAGTGGGTATATAAGCCTCGTAATTTTTTTCCTGAAATACTTTAGACTCGACTAACTTGTTGGCACTATTGAATGAATTTAATTCGACTTTAACTTTATTTCTACCAGTTACAGAAATATTTAAAATGTTATCCCTTATCTCCGGTTCTGCGTTTAAAATTAATCTTGCAGTAGAAATTTTATGAAACTTACCTAAGTTTCCTTCTTTACTTTGCACAAATACATAATATGGACCTTGGTCCGTTGAACTATATTTATTTTTTTGTTTTATTATTTTTTCAATACCACCTGTTTCGTCGCTTTTTCCATTTCCGCTAAATTCCATATTCACTTCATCTATAATTATACTCTTTCCCCTATCAGGAGGTTCATATCTTCTGTCCGAATCCCCGATCATAACAATCAAAAACAAATAAACAAACACTTAATGAAGACTCGTTCACGCACTGATAAGAACTTTACCTGACCACTGCCAAAAACGAACTGGTAACGTAATGTATAAAAAACTTTAAAAAGAAGTTTGCTGAATTTGTAAAATTAATTTGTTGCTTCAAAAATTTAAAAATACGGCAAAATCGTTAATTGTATATAGCTATTGTTAGTAAGTTGAATAAGTCTTATTCGTATTTTTTTTTTCACCTATTTGAAATGGACTCACACGGAATATATTTCAAATTATTTTTATGTTATGATCACTCAATACAAAATATCTTAAACAGGCTAGAACCCACACAGGATTGTAAAGCCAGAATAATGATGATAATGAGAGAATTGACAAACCTTTCAAATGATCTAGCACACGGTTCTCATAATAGCCCAGATGAATAATGTTAATAGCACGATATATAGGTATGCCTAAAAATCATATAAAATTAAATATCGACTTGTTTCGGGATTTGTCTCCAAAGTCAACTATTCTCGAAAAAATTAATTTATTACATAATTTTGCACATCACAGTAAAGCTAAACCTCATCAGTTCTTTCGTATTTTATTAGTTCTAGCTAATTATAATTTATAATCTATATATTTTCTAAAACTATTACCAAACTTTAACCAAGTCGATTACTTTTTTGTTTACATCTATAGGTGTTTTTAGCTTTGGACGGTCAAAAATCTAGTGTTAAAGAAATCTTGCAAGATCTGAAAAATCTCCATGGTCAGGTAAAACAACTACCACAAAACGATGTAGTTAATAAGTTACAAAATTCTGTTAAAAATTGTCAAGACCCTTTAATAAAACAAACTTTACACAAGATCGAAGATAAATTGAATAATGGACTAACACAACTTACTAGTACTTTGAACAAAAACCTAGCCAACACAAGTAATGGTAAGTATATTATCATATAAGTGGTATTTAGTCGAGAATCTGGATTTTTTCAAATAATCTTCTTTAAAATAAAAAAATAGCCGACGCCTTGTGGTATAATATTTTCAAATACTAAAATTCGATAAATCGAGAATTCTCACTTAAATAATTATTAACCAAATTATATTAAGTAAATTAAAATAGAACAGCAGAAAAATTTAATTTCAATTAATTTTTTTAAATTTTGCTTTGATAATTCTTTAATATGTTTGCTGACGATTTTGTGTCCTTTATGATTCTATGTTTAAAAGTTATTGGCGCCCCCTTTATTTTGAAGTTTAGCTGTAATCAGTATTTCTTGTTTTTCTTTGTCAAACTGTTACATTTGGTTATATAATTATTATCTAGCGTTTATCTATCTGTTATTTATACCGCTGTTAGTTTTCTCTTAACCATATCTTTACCCACCCCCAATGAAGCTTCCGAATTGAGCTACGTGGTCTTCGTAAAGTCTTATGTGACCGATCAACTTTTTACCATGTACTTTTGTTAGCTTTTTGGTTACAAAGTTCAGTATTATATAAATATATGCTTCTTCGGCCAACAAGCATTATGAAGAAATCTTCTTCTGGTTCCTATCCGTTTCGGATGTTGGAAATCATATTGGCAATCATAACCTTGCTCGCTGCGGCTCGAAACAGCTCCGTTGAGGTTTTCTTAAACCATGTTCTTAAATTCCGCAGCCATGATATTCTCCTTCTACCTGGTCCTTGCTTACCTTTGACTTGCAATATAGACTGTAGCAGGGAGTAACGATGCTGATTTTTCATAACGTGTCCCAGATATTACAATTTCATGCGTTTGATCGTAAACACAATCTCTGGTTCCTTCTTCATTTTTCCTAGAACTTCCTTGTTCGTGATTCTTGCTGTCCATGATATTCTCAGCATTCTTCAATAAAGCCACATCTCAAATGCTTCAACTTTTCTAATAGTGGTGTCTGTAAGCGTCCATACCACCGCCCCGTACAACAACACAGAGAAAACATAGCATCTCAAATGTATCATTTTTGTATCAAGGGATATGTTGTGACATTTGAAGATGGCGCTCATTTTGTTAAAGACCATTCTTGCCTTTCCTATGCGGCACTTTATTTCCTGTAAATTGCTCCACTGCTCGTTAATAATAGTTCCCAGGTAACAATACTGTTTTACTCGCTCTATCTGCGTCCCATTAATGTATAGATGAGCCCCGTTTATATTCTCCTTGCTGATAATCATTTGTTTCGTTTTGTGGGTATTAATTTTTAGTCCGTACTGTTGACTGTACTCGTTTATTCTGTCCATTAGCCTCTGAAGTCCCTCTAAACTATCTGCTATCACCATGGTGTCGTCGGCATATCTAACATTGTTTACTGTTTCACCATTTAGAAGGATGCCTTCGTCTATTCCATAAAGAGCCTCGTTAAAAATTTTCTCTGAGTACATATTAAATATCAACGACGATAGGATACATCCCTGTCTAACTCCACGTAGTATTTTTATGTGATCTGTTTCTTCTCCGTTAATTTTCATGTATACGGTCTGATTCCAGTAGAGTTCTGAACTTATTCTGAGGTCTTTGTCATCCAGGTCTGCCTCTTTTAAAATGTTTATCATCTTTTGATGTTTAACTCTGTCAAATGCCTTTTCATAGTCGATCAAGCACGCGTATACGTCGCAGTTAACGTCCCTGCATCTTTGAATCAGTACCTGTACTCCGAAAAATGCCTCTCTGGTACCCACTGCGTTAATGAAGGCGAACTGTCTGTCCGATATTTGTTCCTCGCACTTCTTATAAATTCTTTCATGGATGACTCTAAGAAACAGTTTCAACATATGGCTGATTAGCCATTATGGCATTAGGCTGATTGTTCGATTCGCACTTTTTAGCCCCCTGTTTTTTAGGTATCGCTATGAATTCTGATTCTAGCCATTTATCAGGGATGATTCGTGTATTGTATATTTTATTGAAGACAGCCGTGATCCAAATTATTCCTTCTTCCTCCAAGAGTTTTAAAAATTCAGCTTCGATATTATCAGGTCCTACAGCTTTCCTGCTTTTCATCCGTTTTATTGCTTCTTCTACCTCGGATTTAAGTATATCCGGGCCCGTCATCCTCTCTGAAAATGGATGCCTATAATCCGTTCTTTGATCTTAAAAAAGTGTCTCCAAATATATTCTCCATTTGTCTTTCATCTCTTGGGTGTCAATGATTAATTTTCCATTGGTGTCTATGAGTTTCATTTGTGTTCGCTTTTTAAAAGTACCCGTTATTTCTTTGACCTTTTTGTGTACATTAAAATTGTCATGATTGGCTTGTAGTCTTTCTATTTCTGTACATTTCTCTACAGCTTCTTTTTCTTTAGCTTCTCTTATTTTTCTTCTGATGTAAGCCTGCACTTTTTTATACTCATCTTTATTTCCTTTAATTAACCTTCTGCGTTCCATTAAGTGAAGGATTTCTGGAGTCATCCAAGATTTCTTCTTTATTTCTTTGTTTGGTTTTAGCAGATCTTGTATAGTTTTCTTAATTATTTTTTCGAATTGATTGATTTCTCGTTGGATGTTATTTTCTTCTTTTAGTTGTTTAACTTGGTTGTTAATATATTCCCCCACTTGCTTTTTAACTTCCGGATGTTGCAGGGCTGTCATGTCGTAGTTAGGTCTAGATTTTTTCTTTATTGTCTTCAGTCTCACATCCATGACTCCCACTAAAGGTATGTGGTCAGATTCAATGTTCGCTCCTGGATATGTTTTGACAGATTTAAAACTGATTCTGAATTTTCTATTTACCAATATATAATCTATCTGGTTTCTAATTACGTTATGGGGTTTATCTGCTGGTGCCTTCCACGTATACAATCTCCTCGGCGGTAGTTTATAAAATGTGTTCAGAACCACGGCTTGTTATCTTCTGCGAATATTTCTAGTCGGTCACCTCTTTTGTTTCTTTGTCCTAACCCAAAAGGTCCGATTAGAGACGTTTTCCGTTCGGCCCCAAGTTTTGCATTGAAATCCCCCATTATGATGCTGACTTCATGTTTAGGTATTCGTTCTAATATATCCTCTATGCTTTGGTAGAGAGTCTCTACTTCCTCGTCGTCTTTATCTGCAGTGGGATCGTATATTTGTATTATGTTTACATTAACTGGATTGGCTCTTATTTGCAGTAGTATTACTCTGTTGGACACTGGGACAAAATTTAAAATACATCTACTAATTTTTCTCGTTATTATCACACCAACTCCATGTTCTAGTTTTCCATCTAGTGACCCTGAGTAGAATATTCTGTGATCTTTTTTGTCAATGCTTCCTGTTCCGGGCCATCTCATCTCACTTATTCCCATTATGTCAATGGTCATTCTTTAGATTTCCTGAATGGCATTGTCTATTTTTCCACTCCTTGCCATAGTTTTCACATTCCATGTGCAAATTTTTAAAAATTGTGGTTTTGCTGGTTTTTCTTTTTCATAGGTACTCATAACTGTCCCCCCGGAGATCCGATTGAGGAACTTACTCCGGAATCGTATTTGAAATAGAGATATGAAGAAATAGAGATGCTTTACGAAAATTAAAACTAATTGAATTACCAACAAAATCTAAATAGGCCGGTACGGATTTGGGATGATAGAAAAAAAACTTAGAACCGTAAAAAAATTATATTAAGGAACTCGACAAGAAGATTACTATTTTTATGTTGGATTAAGCCACACTTGATTGTAATGAAAATGATATTTTTACCTAATGTTTGACGTTTGTGATTTCTACTCAAGACATCGTTTAAACATAAGATTGTTTTAATAAATAAATTCTGCGAAAATGTATAACTAACAAAGTTATTAACAGGTTATGTTTTTTTTTTCAAAATTGACGGTTGGCTTACTTAGCCTCGATGTTGTAGGCAATGAACTGATTTTAGTTGTACAACAGGGATATCAAATTTTGACTTTTTTTGTATGTTTTTTTTTATATTATGCGTTTATGTAATGTGTGTTTATGTAGTTATATGTTTTTGTATTGTGTATAATTCTAGATGATATGTCTTTGACTTGATATTAATCCGTTAGTTTTGGTATATTTTTATAGTTTACTTCTTCTTTTAGTATTGGCTAATCAAAGCCTGCTACATTCTGCTGATAGATGTGCTACACACTTTTCTTCATTAAGCAGGATGAGAATTGCTTCTTTGTTTTTTCTTTTTTTATGTCTGTTTCTTTTATTATTATTGATGCATCTTTCCATTGTACACTATGCCCTTTATCCCAGGCATGTTTAATATTTGAAATATGTCGAAGTTTATGTTTTAAATGTATATTTCAAGCTTATTTAACCTTACACTAGTGGTCTTGCGGTTTCTCCCACATAGAAAATATTTTATTCACAAAATATTTGATAGATGCAGTTATTTGATCTTTCTTGTATATTGTGGGGTTTGGTTTTGCACAAGATATATCTCAGTGTATTGGTTGTTTTGAATTTTGTGATATTGTGCTTATTTCCTATCCTTTTTAATGTTTCTTATAAGCCCTTTACATATAGGTGTTTTGTTATTCCTTTTCTTCAATTCGGTGAAATACCTTGTTTATAAATGACAATGGGTAGTTATTTTATGTCAAAACCGGTGTTAGCAGGTCTTTTCGTCTTGAAATGCATTTTCATTATAACAACAAGTTATCATGCAAAGAAGTGTTTTGGTCTCTATCATATAATGAGTTGATAATTCCGTTTTGGATATTTACATGGTGTATTTGATTCTTTATCGTTGACGCCCATCAGAAATTTGTTTAATGCTTCTGGTCCTTAAGGCTACATTGAGAACACATCATCTACATATCTCCATCATACTGTGGGTAGTGTGTCTTGTTTGTGTACAATGATTTGTTTAAAATCCTTCATGAATATATCTAATATTAATGGAAATAAGGATAAGCCCATGGTTACTCCAAAGGTTTGCTTATGGAATTAGCCTCGGATATAAA